CAGTTACGTATTGCTCGAGTCATTTTATCTGAGGTTCAATCTAAACGTTTTATAAAGAAAGTCCTCACTAATTAAAATGGCTAACGTTCTAATAACAGAAATTCAGACAGACTGTACACGCAAATTAAAAGTACTAACATATCAAATAATCCACAAGATCATACAAAAGAAACCGCCAAAAGAAATGATCAAATTATAACGGACTACAAAATGGAATAATTGAAGGTAGCATATTGCGTTTTATATAAATATACATAATTTAAATATATGTAGTAAAACAATATTTTTGAATTTCAGGTATGATTTGTAGAAAGTATATCTCTGCACAATTTTAAAAAGTATCAACAACTATATCTATTATAACTAGTTATATTTTATAATTGACGATTTACACTTATACCATAATAACTATTATATCGTTTATTTCACATTTTATATTTGACTATTACAATTATACTATAATAATTATTATATCGTTTTTATTTTTATTTTATTTGGTGGAAACGTATATTGGTGGAAAAGGGCAAGGTACACTTTTGGTGGAAACGGGCATCGCCCGTTATACTATTTAGTAACACAGACTAATAAAGATAGAGCGTTTTCATTCAGAATTGTTATTTATATGCAATGATTTGTTATGATTCAAATTTAATATTAATACATACTTGTATATAACTGTGACTAAGTGACTTATAAAGGATGAGGTAACATACTATACAGCAGAGTGATTAGGTACCTACTTTCCCCCTTTTTATTATAAATAAAATGTCTAATTATTAGAGAAAATTAAAAATTTTACTTTATAATTATAATTATAAGAATAACACAATAATTTTACTAGGTAATATAATAGTTCAATTAATTATTAAAGCACCATACTTTACAAAATGAATAATGTTTTTCCTTATAAAAAAAAATTGTGTAAGTGTAGTTAGTTAAAAAATAAGTGCCAAGTTAATGTATAAAATAATACAAATTGTTTGACATTCAAATTTTAAATTTCAAAATAAAGTTCCCCAATTTAAATTTATTTTAAACTAACCTCAACTTGCAGACTTTTTAAATAATTTAAATTTAAATATAAATGAATACGTAAATAATGTGCACATCGTGTTAATATTTATTCAGGTAATTGGGTATTTACTAGTTACTAATATATGTAAATGTAATATGTATATATCCTAAAATAAATAAAAAACTGAACTATGACGAATGTGCAACGATATCTCTGGTACGATTATTTTGATCTTAAAGAAGTAATATAATATTATCTTATCGACCAATATTTACTTGATTTCGTAATTTTCCTTTTTTGTGATGAGCTTATTATGTTTAAATTGCGTGATTTCTCTTAACAGTTCCTTCGACAAACTCAATTTCTTCCTTTTGTTGTTGGTCTAAAAAAAAACCTTGATGTGTATAAACCATTACAGAAACAAAAATAATTAAAACTTGATTTCTTCCGAATCTATCGTCTTACGGCATAAATTGAATTGGCATCGATTGGCCCGATTACAATGGGACACGGTTGTTTGGACATTTTGGACGTGTTCACAATTTTAAGCTATCGAACGTCCTTCGACTGTAAAATATAATTTATGAATAAAGTACACATTTTTTTTTTTATAATTTTTGGCAAAATGTTCAGAATATAATAATGCATCTATATATGTAAGTATGTGGACACAAAAATTCAAGTGTTATTTTACACTTGTATAGTTATATTATGTTTGCATGGTACATTGCAATCGTATGATAATAATTATTAATTATAGATAATTAATTACCAATAAGTAGGTATTGACTTTAAATTGATTGGTAAGTTTTTTCGCAGTGTTCATTTAACAAATTTGGTTAGTAATATACACATCCATCTCATACGCTGATTCAAATGATCAATTTTTTATTTTGCATATTATATTATGAAATTTATAAACACGAAAAAATGCATATTTTATAGTTTATCAGAAATAAATCAGCGTAAGAGGCCTAGTCATGTTTTTATAGTTTCAATTTCATATAATTAGTAATTTTGTCTTTTTTAAAAAAATATAAGAAAAATGTATTATAAATACTTTTGATTTTATTTAAAAGTAAGTAAGCATAAGTATAAAGTAAGTAAGTAAACAGTTAAAAAAAAAACCACTTTGTTTTATATTATTTAAAAAAGTTGTTTTTTTCTAACCCAACTAGAAATATTCTGCACAACTCCCTACTCACCAACTTAATGTTTAATTATCGCACAATTTTTGAAAACAATTAAACATTTAATGAAAATAATTTAGGTTTATAGTTTTTACTGTTTTCAGTCACTAACAGAAAAACATTAAATTCAATTATAATACTTTGTCACGCATAGATTTATGGAAGAAATTATTGCTTTATACATAATATGGAATTATAATATATTATATTCTTAAATGATTTATTTATCGCCGTCGTGGATTGTTAACAGATTTTATTATTGCATTGCTACCATGACTATTCTTTAGGGAATAGGGGTAGCATACAAGGCCTAAGGTGAGTTTATTGTTTTTTCTTAGATTTGATCATTTAGGGACCTCGCATTTGAAAAATATTGGATAATTCAAAATTAAAGTAAAAAAATTATACTATACGTTTTCATAGCATTTAAAATATTATGTTTTACAGAGAAATAACAGTAATTTTTTAGAAATAAAGTATAGGTACTTATAAAATAATATATTAAAATAACAAAAATTATTATTGTAATAGCATAACATCAACCGCGGAATATGGATAGCGTGTGACTTTTTCATCGAATTGTTACTTGTCTTATACTAAATATACTGACAATAATCAGTAATTACTAAGAATTTTTATTTATATGGGTATTTAAATTTTCAGAATTTCAGATTACACTCGTTAGTTGATACTTATTAGTTATTAGTATGTAATTGTCTTCGTTTGTCGCTTGTTAAACATTACTAAAAATGTGTACCCGACTACGCGATGAGTAGGTATTAAAAATTGAAATGATATTGAAGACATAAAATAACAATCACAAAAGAACAGTTTTATAATAATGAAAACTTACTAAATATGACGATCGATATTATTTAATTCAAAATATAAGGTACCGAAAGGTAACAAGGATGGATAATGGTAACAAAATAATAATATAATTTACAAGTAATCAACGTCATCTTATTATTCTATAAATTAGGCGGATGGCTTACTGGAAATTTTTAGGATATTATTTGATACATACAATTTTAACAACTTTAAATTAAAATTAAAATTTAATTTATATATTTAAATAATAATTGGAGTCTCAATCCAGTAAGCCTCTACAATAATTGGTTGATGGATAATTACAAAATTAAATACAAAATTAATTTATATGCGACACTGATGTGACTACTACTACTACTACAAATTACCATTAATTAAAAACATTATATATTATGTACTTTGTAGGTACTTATAAGTTATAATCAATGATATTAGTATACTGCCTACTAATATTAGTAATATTACATTATAATTTTCACTGTATAAATCAATTATTCTATTTCAGGATTAAGTGTTAATACTATAATGCAGCTATTCGTATTATAATTGATTAATTATTAAATTAAAAAAATATATATAATATAATACAAAAGCACTAACTAAATGAAAAAATAAAATAAATATCAAATAATAATAAGTTAATAACCAACTTAATACCGCACTCAATGTTAGCATGTAACTGATATGTGATGAATGTTGGATGACATAATATATTTTATAAAATAACACCAGTAACAATAATAATCATTTATAATCGTAGTAGCTATGTTAGGAAATGCTTAGTTGCGTACGATGTTTCACAAACGTATAAAAAGTTTGTGTGTTGACGTGTCATTGTTAACTTAAATATTAAAGTTAATTGAAATATTATCAAACTTAGGGATTTTATCAGATTATTTAAGCACCTAGTGAACTTTTATTGATATTTTTAAATGGAATTGTAACATTTTGCAATGTTTGACATTGTTAAAATATACTATTATAACACGCTTTCAATTTAAAAATTAAAATATTAATTAAAGCATATGGAATGCTCTAAATAATATTCTTACCTTTAAATTTGATAATTTACTCCAATATTAAAACTAAAAAATACACAAAGGTTACACATTTGTAAGACAACGGAGACAACACGTGCGGTTTCGGCGTTCTCTTAAATACTAAATAAACGATTAGTTTTGTTCATAGATATTCACCTCGTAGCAGCTATATCCGCGCAGCGGCTGGATCTATCTTCGTCCGGTGTGTGCTGCACTTTCAAACAATCGCTTTTAAGAATGGAAAAACTCCAAAAAAAAATCTACGCGCACGTGTAAGTACAATTTCAAAGCCAAGCGAACCTGCACGTAGTATCAGTATAAATAATATATTGCAGTGTAATGTACGATTACACTGTTATAGGTTAAGCGAATGAAATGCCGAGGAAAAACAAGACTGGAAAAAATAACACCGGTCGACTTGTATTGCCCAATCAGTAATAATCGTTTATCGGCTTATCGCCTCGTATATACTATTATGTTATCGTCATTATGTGGGATAGGTACTAAATATAAGTCCAATAATATATTATATTGTTATTAGGTACTACCGGCAATCCGTCGCACAGTCGCACTCATAGATTTAATGATTTGTCGATTGATAACGCGTCACCGACGACGGCGGATTGCTAATATTCAAAGCACGTAAATTGTAATAGACAACCTATTTCCGTCATAATCTTTGCTTTCAGAGTTTTGGTGTAACGTATAGCTTAAAAATAAAATCTATACAATATGTGTAATTTAATAAGGCTGAGTCAACGAAATAAACACACTGGCGTAACTAAGGGGGTAATTACAAGTGTTATATCACCCCACCCCCAACCTTTTTCTTACATATCGTGTTAACTGGTTAGGAAAACGAAAAATATTACTATAAAAATTAATATAATGCCTGAATTATTATAAATTATGAGGTACGTTTGTTTTACTCTTTATAACTTGTGACAATTATGAAATATCCATATCACCCAATGGGTAGAATAGAAAAATGAACTCAAGTAATTCTAAAAGTTTTCGTGACATAATATTATAAGCGGCGCCAACACACACGTATAGTGTGTAGTAGAGTATAATGCCGTATTGTAAATAGTAGTGTTAATGTGTTATAAATTATTAATACCTAAGTATAATTGATAAAACTTGAATAACGACATAAATACTCGTTTTGCAAATATTTTTTTTCTTTTTTAGTAAAAGTGCGAGGTAGGTACATTGTTTTTTGTACATATGTCTAGTTTTTATTATATTATGATAAATGTATGAAGATTATTAAACTGTAAATAAGTTACATATCATTCTATTGAACTATGGACTGTAATTTTTCCAACACATTTTTATAATTTTTATTTTTATCGAAATAACAAACTGATGTTGTTCACACAAGTAATAAATGGAAAATAAAAATGTTTTTAACAAAGCTCAAATAAAATACAATATTTACCAAGTGAATATTTCGAGTACAATATATGGATTTTATTCGTAAAGGTTAAAAAGGAAAAAATTACAATTGTTTTGAAACTTATGAAAGAATATTAAAGGGACTAAGCCAAAATTTTTCTCTCTCTACCAGATTTCCGACAATATTTAAAATACAACATAAGATAAAAATGATTGTCGTTTTCTCGTCACCTAACCCAACAAAATTGTGTAAATGTGTAATATGTTTTTACTCGTCTGTGTTTATTGTTTGTAAACACATTATAAATTATATTATACATATAATGTAACATTTTACGTTATAATGTAAACATAAACCATTGTCTGAAACTGAACATATAATATATAATATAGTATGATATTTTATTTATTAAGTATTGTAAACAGTGATGGCGTTTGCGGGGATGTAAATGATGGAATCTACTCCGAGACAGACCTAGAGCGGTTCAGGCATTGTATATTTGTATAGTTGGCCCACCCAGAAACGATTTCCATGGTAATAAAAATAATGCACAGTATAATATTAACAATGCGCACTACAGTAACGCGTAAAAAAAAGTTAGGTAGGTATCCTATCGAATGACTATAGCTGGTAACAGTGACCGGGTGTTAGCACATGTTTTACTTCACTTACCCGCAAACGAAAGATAGTCGTTTTACATAATATTATTTTGAAAGGCGAAAGCTGCAATATATGACTGTCGTCTGTCAATAATGGAGCTCAGTTGTTTTAAGCATGCCACCGACATGCAGTGTTTACTCGTATAAATATTGTTCATCGAACTTTTTTTTCTCTGAGTTTTGGGACGCGCACTATACATATAATGACTAGTTCAGTCTAGTGGCATGTTTACAATGTTTTCAACGGACCGCTATTCCTTCAAAATTATAAGGGCACATGGTAAATAAATAGATGCGTAACATTTTGCTAAGATTAGAAAAAACAGAAGTTTTTGTAATATTATAATAATTAGATAATTGCTTTAATTGCTTTAACGAAGAGGAAATTGCAATTCATTATATGTATATACAACTACTATAATAGGTATAGAATTTAGATATTGTTTTGCAATAAACATATATGAATATAATATCTTAAGCTACGAAACCATCTCGTTATTAATCATTATAAGTATATATATATATATATATATTTTACTGTGTAATGATATATAATAATAATGATATTATTATTATTAATAAAAAAGATTTATTATAAAAGTAACAAATTACATTTTGTTAAAATGTAAACATTATTATTTATTTATTTACCAAGAAATATTTTTATACTATTGTACATTATAATGAGTAATGACTAAGTGTTTAGACTTTTTAAAGAATTAACTTTTGGTTAACTAATTTATAACTTAATATGTTAAAAATATTGAAACTTGAGTTCAGTAAAATAAAGCGATAATTATTAAGCATTATTATCAATTATATCTGTAATATTATTCAAAACTCTCTATGAAAGATTATCTTATAAAGAATACTACTATCCACAGTTTTATTTTTTGTGGAGCAAGTTTTTGTGACTTAATGGTTACATAACATACACTGATAAACTGACATACACTGCGGTAATTGTGGCTGTATATTATATTGTGCGAGGATTTCATCGATTCCATACATTTTAAATCATAAATTTAGATAACTTGAAATTAAATTACTATTTTTTATACCAAACAATTTAACAATTAGAAAGACTAACTAAGTATGGAGCTATTCATAAAATTCTCATACAAATATAACAGTTCGCAATATTATCAATTGTTTTTTAATTTATTATGATTTATGGAGTATTTATTTAAAACAACTTAAACATTAATTTTTAACTCATTTAGCTCGTTAACATAGTATAAATAACGAAAAAGCTTTTTTATTTTTTACAAATATATTTTTCAACAAGTTGTTTTATTTAAACGACATGACTTTAAACTGCAAACATAAAATAATATTTTATGTACCTACTCAAATTTAGGTTAATAAACAAGACATAATGAAATAAATAATATATTAAAATATTAATTATAATAACTAGATAGGCATTTAATTAGAATCGATAATTTATAGTATTTATACAGTTAAACGTATTCATAACTAAACCCATTCCTGATTTACTATATTCAATATTAGTTAGCAGGTATTTTAATATTTTTACGGCAGTATCTAATGTGCAAGAAAAATATAATTTAGTATAATACTTTAACATTGTATTTTAGTCTTATCGACATTAAAATGATTGATTATTTCATTACTCTTTTTTGCAACTACACTGCAACACGTTATAACCTATGTCCTATAATAAATATACTGTACTTGATGTACATAGGATATAGATACCTGTCCTATATTTCATATAGGCCAATATTAATGATGCGTTGTTTAGACGCTTATCTACAATTTTCTATTGAAATATAGTTCTTAGGCGTTTTTAAATTTGAACGCATTGAACTTTGTTGCAGTAACGGATCCAGAAGTTACCCAATAACGAATTTTCAAAAACCTTTTTTCTATTTAACCTGTACTGGAGACTAATTATTTATATTATTTCACCTATAAAACTAATAAATCTGAAATAAATAAATAAATTATAGTTACGATAAGCTGACATCATCCGTAGTGTGCGCTCAAGAAGTGGCGTTTCTATATTATTATGTACAGCCAGGGATAATAATAACTAGAGCTAGTATTTTGATAAATTTTGTATTTTTTTTCTTTGAGTGCTATGTAATTTAAATCAAAAAGTTCATTTTTAGAGTTTTTAGGTCATTTTTACATTTTTTTTAGTGAATTTTGTGTATTTTTTAGGTCATTAAAATCCTATCTCTAGTCATAACTATTGTTTATGTGTAATTAATAGTGGTTTCATAAAAATAAACATATCGTTAAAATATAATATGTTTATTCATTATTCTATGATAAGTAATATTTGTAATGAAAGGATCAAAAATATTTTAAAAATTGGAATGGGATGAAGTGAGCCAATGAGATCATACATATTGTGTTAATTTATTCAACTTTTTTATATAAGTACCTAAAAATAAAAAATTAAGCTGACTTTAAATTTTACTAAATCTCCTTCTATTACAGTCCTGTGGTCGAATTGAGTGTCATAGTGACGAGTACCTACTATATAATATCTAAACATTCAATATTAAATTTTAATTTGTCAGTTTTAACTATTATGACAATAATAGGTATCATTGTATATATTATACTTATATTTTCTATTTATTCGTATTATTGACGTCGTATTAAAAGGAACCGTTTTCGAATTGTTTTTAACCAGATCTGTATTATGTTTGTACTCAGTCAAAAACAATAATAATAATGCAGACACGCGCTCATTTCAAGTGTTTGCAAACGAGATGAATGCGGGCTTGTGTTTAGCAGCTGCAATGTTTATTGTATTAATATTTTATTTGTCTGTTTTGTTGGGCGTTATTCGAGTAGTCTAGTGAGTCTACTTACTATTAAGACAATAATGATAATATTATAGTTGTGACGCATTAACTATGTACATTATTATAAGTGACACACACTCACACAACAAAACAAATGTAATGGATGTTAAATTTAGTACCTAAAGTACTAAATAGTAAAACCTATAGGTACCTAAAGTAATAGTATTATATTGATTATACAACTATTTGTCATGACGCTAAAATATTTAGGTTTTAAAAAATAATTTATAAAAATTAAAAATCAATAATGGAATGTACGACTTACATGTACTTGAAATAATGTTTATAAAAGACGCTAACAAAATACAAGTAGCTTAATCGTGTAACACTGATAAAATTGTAGTAAGTATATTTAGTAACAAGGTTAAGTTAGCCCCACAAAAACAAATCCTCGATACGGGTTTAATAATGAAATTTATTTATACATAATAACGTACTCAAATTTTACAACTTTTTTTTTTACAGAAATGCATTTACATAAAGCCAAAA